GATATTTAATAAATAAAAGTAACACACAAAACGTTAAAAAAATGCCCCTTTGGACGTAATTTAAAATCTGAAACCTTTCAGATTTTTATTTTTTTCATTATTATTTTTATTTAATTTCTTCAATACAAGGCGATAATAATTTGTCTCAATAATTTGAAAGGTGATTTTCATACTTTTATAGTGATTCAACGCAAAATCCAATTTTGGGATTAGTAGCTCTTTTGAGTAAATGCTCCTTTAGGTTAATCTGTGTATTCTATAAAGAAGAATGGATATGTGTTTTTTCGAGATTAACTCAGTCACTACTACAGCTATCGTCACTAAATTTTGTACAATTTTCTTCTGGGTCCTGGAAATGGTCGACGTCTACTTTTTTCGCCAGAAAAGTAGCAAAAATCAGAGATATTAATTAAAAACTCAGAAAACACTAACCTTTACCCTCATTTTTTTCCGAATGGCAACAGTTTTGCACGCTGGAGATCAAAATACGCTTTATTTCGAGAAGTGTTGCCACTGCTCGTTTTAAAATCATAGAGTTTGTTAATAAAAAATTTCTAAGATTTACAATGAAATAAAAAAAAGCATTACCAAACATTATATACATTATTCCCGATTCTAAAAATTTGTGGGAAGCCATTTCGACTGCTTACGAATTTAATCAGCCGAGATATTAATTAAAAACTCTAATTTTCGCGCTCATTTTTACGAGTGGCAACAGTCTCGCGCGTTGGAGATAAAAATGCTTTATTTGAAAGTTATTGCTACTGATCGCTTTCAAATCGTAGAATTTGTTAATCAAAAATTTTTACGTTTTGAAAAATCTGTATATATATGTGATGTATCAGCTTTTGACCAGAATAAATAGATCGTTGAAGAAATATAGATGTAGTCGTATCTTAAATTATCAGACGATAAGTTTAAAAAACAGGATCCATTTATTATTGGTCAGGAGAAATAGCAGTTACAAAATTACATAGAGTAAATAAAAAAGAACTACTATAACATTTTGTATGAAGTTTACTCCGTGACATTTAAGAGAAAGCCGCCGATATTCTTTTGCGAGTCCTTTTATAGCTTCTGGAAAGGCGGAGCTTCCAAGAAATGACGTCAGCCTCGTCAACCAATCCAGTTCGCTTTAAATATTCCCAGAACATTATATAACTGTACGTGTAGAAAAGGCGGGAAAAACAACTTGACTACGGGGCTGTGGATTTAATTCCACGTACTTTCAAATAAGAGACCGTCGCCATTAAAAAATGAAAAGAACATAGGGTTAGAATTAAGTGTATTCTTGACTATGGAATTTTATTATTACATATATATATATATATGGAAGAATGTCTGTGTGTTTGTTGTTCGAGTTAATGATTTCTGATCAATTATAATAAATTTTTTGCCACATTTAATTGACTGAAATTGAATATAGGTGAAATATTGGATGGAATTCGAGCTTTTACGACCACTTGATTAGAAAGACGAAAATCATTAATACTAAAAGGACTGAAATTTAGTATATACCTATATTGCTTAAAGCAGTCAAAACGACTGCATTGTTAAAGAATAACTAATGTGTAAACAAATTTGTCTAAAATTAATTTTTAATATTTTTATATTATTTACAGTTATATAACACGTTATTAATAAATATTAACAATAAAATGTTACTTCACTTGGGAAAAAATAATTTATGCGTTATCATATGTACATTTTTTACCAAAGTGGAAATCTTTTTATATGCACATCTTCCGAAAACATACTTTTGACATTTTTCACGTGTATTATTTGTTTTGTTGTTGTGGCAAAGTCGTGCTTGACAAATTTAGCGTTTGTTAGAATGGATCGCATTTGATGATGTTGCAGTTGATCTTGTGGGTCTTCATGCTCTGATGACTTTTTCTGTCTTGCAGCTCCGTATTCGGTGGAAAGCTGTTCCACTAACTGAAATAAGAACTCTTTTTCATTTTATTTGTATTCCAGTCGTTTCTTTGTAAAGGATTCAAACATTTATAGCAACAAAACCTAAAATATTAAAAAACATTTGGAGGGGCCATCTACGAGAACTAGCTTTTACTGCATATTTTCTGGCCATTTGATCCGCCATATCAACTCCAATTTTTGTGCTGTTATAAAATTGAATAGATTCCGGTAACATTGTTTTACTATTTTTATCAATTTTTACAAATTTATGCTTAGAACTTAGAAGAGCTACTCTTTTATTTGGTTTGCTTTTATATATTGTAAGAACACAATTCTCTGATTTATATAGCAGAGTGGAAAAACGAGGCGTATTATCCTTCGTTTGTTTGGCTGATTTGGGTAGTTCTCTGTTGTTTCCTTTGATAGATCCAACTAGAGTTGCTTTTATTGGCCAATAATTTTGTCACGAGTGACATGCTAGTGGATAAGTTATCGGTCGTGATATTTCTTCCACAACTTGTGTATGGCTCGACAAGTTTCAGAACAACGTGTTCACTGAGATTCGAATAACAAGTACTACTTTAGCTTACTAAGATACTGCTAATTCAGAAGTCAAACAACAAAAATCAGCGTTATACCTACAAAATTTTCACAGGACTAGTTTCGATGGTTTTACCGAACCATCATCTTCAGCTGCAAAACCGCAAATGAACAAGATAGGAAATAATGATTAGATAAGATAAGAAAGCCTGGACAAGAATAAGCAAGTGGAGCCATCTGTTGGCGAAACCAGAACTAAAACATAATTTCTCTAAAAGCCGAAGGCAAATTTGGATTGGAATTAGGATCGTTAACTAGAACAGAAAGATTTTTATGAATGTGAAATGCCTCTAGAAAATCCAGTTCTCCAATGGAAGATGTTTTTTGAATAATTTTGGCAGCAGAAAAATTGAAAGTGTGATTTTCGGACCAACAATGTTGAGCAACAGAAGACTTCTGTGTTTCCTTTTTTCTAACATATGCCTCATGTTCTTTGACGCGAAATTTTAAGGCTCTCTTAGTTTGGCCAATGTAAATTAAACCACACTGGCAAGGAATCCTATAAATACCCCAGGAATTCATATCCGGAATGGGGTCCTTGAGTATAGAAGTTGGAATTTTATTGATGGGAGAATAAACAACCCGAAAGTTAAACTTCTGCAAAATATGTGCAACTTTATAGCTAATTGATGGAAAGAAGGGAATGACAACAGAATTTTTATAATCTCCTAAAATAATACTGCTATTATTGATAATAGATATGCTATTATCAAGTATACGCCCAAGCCCAAATCGACAATTTATCACGTCCTTGTATGTTATCATGTGACGGTAATTGATAAAAAAATGAAAACTGTTATTTCAATACAGAACCGAACTGATCATATAAGAAATTTACTCAATTCAATAATAAAAGTCATTTGATTATTTAAAATTTCCCAAGCAATCAAAATGACTGCTTTTGGGCAATATAGGTATAACACACATATAAATATATATGTCATAATAAAAGAAAAGGAAATGCCGGAACACTGTCGAATTGTGCTTAGATCCATATTGAACAAGAATTTTGATTGCATAGTATCTAAAGAACTTGGCAGTCGTGGCAATTTTAATTCCATTTTCATTTGCAATTGATAATTTGTTGCCACAATCACTTGGCACTCTAGTCGTGCCTTTCCACAGAAGATTTACATTTTTGATATTGTTGAGATGGAAAGCAAGCCAGCGAAATTACATCTTAGCAGAGTAGAGAGCAAAGCTGAAGTGCATAGTTATGCAAGATGGAAGCACACGAAGAGAAAAGTTTTGGTTTACAATTCGGTGATTGGTCGTCAAGAGGCATCTGGTATTAACGGTTACGTAATACCAGATGCCTCTTGATTAATTTGAATGACGGAATGATTAATTTGAATGTCGCACGATTAATTTGAATGACGGAATGCAGATAAGTTAATACGATTTTAGAATAGAGAGGAAGAATTAATGTTTATAGTTATATTATAATTCTGATTCATACATTTTTTATCTTACATATATATACCGGAAATGAAAGAAGGGGGCTAACTACAATTATTAATAAACGCATTTATATGTTGTACAAAAGTCACAAAATAAGAAATTCTGTCATTATACACATAACTGTTTTTCTAATTAAAATTAAAAAGTAGCCAAAATGACTTCCCTGGGCAATCTAGTGTTAAAAGCTGCTTGCCATTGTTTCTGATAATGAGAGGGATTTGCTTTATTTTTCTGTGCGAAGTTCTTACGAGGTTTCCATATCGCATGAGTCTGAAAAATGTATGATTATGAATCGCATTTTTTGCATCGTTATCGGGTATCGTTCTCTTTGTTATTAGTTTATTATTAATTCGTATTGAATCGATTTATTGAAACACGAAATTTATTTTAAGTTCGTAAAATAGCTAAGTGCCTACGTTTCATGACGATGTGAAAATGAAGTGCGTAGAGTAAAATCTCGCTTTCCTATAGCCCATCATGTCTCAAAATGACGCGATTTCGTCAGAAAACATAAAAAAAATCCTAAATCGAATTTCGAAAACATCGCTTCGAGGTGCTCTGGCTCTTGTCTAGATGCACCTATGTACCAAATTTCGTAGCCGTGGGTCTATTAGCTTACTCGCAGCGCGAACGAAAGACACACACACACACAGACAGACTCTTTCTTTTCTTTTATTATATTTATAGATTTCATATTTTGTAACACTTTAACGAATTTTTGATTAAAAAACTCAACAATTTAAAAGCGAGCAATGGCAACACTGTACGGAGGGGAAAAAACATTTTTATCTCCAGCGCGTGATCGGGAATTCTAAAGATATTCTCATTTTTAAATTATTTTGCGACATTGCTCTTGAATTGAATTTCATGGTTTAAGTGCGAAGAACATGATATTTAATAAATAAAGGTAACACACAAAATGTTACGAAAATGCCCCTTTGGACGTAATGTAGAGTCTGAAAGCTTTCATATTTTATTTCATATTTTGTAAAACTTATGTTTTCTTTCCTTTATTTTTTTAGATCAAAACTGCTGAGTGCTCTAAGCTCGAATCATGCTTCTAAGCAAAGGGTGTTGGTTCTTTGCTGCTCCGGTGGTAGTAGAACTCGGCAGGTTTTCCAAGAAGCTCGTAAACTAGGAATGCTTGAAGGTGATTGGATATGGATCTTGCTAGAGAAGGCTACATGGAATCCCGAATCTGGCAACTATCCTGTTGGAATTTTGGGTCTCAGGCATAAGCGTCAACTGACCAACAAGTAAGTGCAAAAGTTACTGCACATCCGGCTTTATAAATATTTCGTTTTCCGTGGCATGTTATAGCTGTTGTTTAATAGATTCTGTAATTTATTCTGGATTTCTTTTTACTTCCTTGTACGAAGTAAAGGAAGTTTCGTAATCACGAAAAATTTCGATTATCGTACTTCAATGACAATATCCATTTCGACCTTTCTCGAATCCGCTTGAACGGTGTTACATTGGTAGATACCGGGTGCTCCAAAAATGGCTGATGGATTTTGTAAATCAATTAAAAAAAAGACGGAATGCGATAGATATGTATCGTTTGCAGCCTTATGCTTAGGAAATCAGGGAATTTTATCCCACCAAATTTCAAATTTAGTTATCATTTTCACCCATAGGTGGCGCTGAAAACTGTAAAAAAAATAAAAACCGGTATGAAAATTTTGCAAGGACTGTTGCAAAAAACTAAACAAAGACATTTTTAATGTAACCCGTATTTTCTGCAACAACGTGGCGCAGTCTCAGGCAAAAATTTCCAAACATCAGTTCAAACCATAGACCTGTTATATACTAGACGGAGTATCGCCATTCAAAACCGGGTGAAAAAGCGGCACAGGAATGAGCTGCAGGAGTTTGGGCATGAAATGGAACTGAATCCAGACTTTGGCGTACTATCGCCATGGCTGGCGATTTTTTTCCTCTCTTTTCTTTCTCTCAGTTCGAAATGCGAACTTGGAAGACGTCATTTCGCAGAAGCTGCCGTTTGAATTTGCAGAAGAGGTTTAGATCGATAAACACCACCAGCCAAAATTAATAATTTCCCTAAAATTGGACACTTTAATTTTAAAATTTAACTTTATTTTAAATTTTTAATTTTTAAATTTAAATAATTTTCATGCTGTAGAATAAATTTTGCAATATGTCCATCGGCTCTACAAATTTTAAAATAAAATAAAAAAAAAAAAAAATGAGAGAACCACTAATAATAAAAAAACTAATAATAACTAATAACTAAATAAAACTAATAAATAACTAAATATAACTAATAAACTAAAAATAAATAAGTAAAATAATAAATAAAAACGAAGGCTTTTTAGTACTTAGGGAACCGAATAAAAATAAAAAATAGATAACATAAGAAGAATGAGTGAACCCAGAATACTACAAAAGGAAATTTAAATTTAATAGGTACGGATTTACGGGTGTATTACAAAGACTACAGAGTAGGCAAATCAAGTGAGAAAATATTAAATAAAAACTAAAAATGAATGTCATAAAGCAGATATAGTTAAAGGAAGAGAGAGAGTGGTAATAATTAAATTATGAAACAAAAAGGTGTAAATTAAGACTTCCTTTTACTAGCAAATATATATATATATATTATGCACGTTGCACAATGTAGTCGTACGTTTTAAATAATTTAGAAGGTTTTTTAAATTTTCATTATTTTTTAAAAAGAAACTTAAAACTATTAAAGTTTTGAAATTTAACTGCTCAATATTCTATTTTCTTAATACTTAACAAATTCTTATATTTGAATAAATGCCAAAACATATATAAGAAAGAAATACGTGTTTGAGGTAAAAATTTGTTATATTTTGGATGCAAGAAAAGGGATAAAATAAAGTCATTCATGTCCCCCCCAAAAAACATAATTTTATGCATTCTTACACAGTGTTACAAAAATCAACATTACCAAGTATTAAATACATACATTACTACTTCGCACATGTCCGCATGAGCAAACGCATACAAGAATATATAAACAAACGTATTCAAAGCAGTCTGTTGGCGTATAAAAATGTCGCCAAAGCAGAATACTACTAATTAAATTATATTGTATTATTAAAATTTTAACATTTTTTTCAGAAAACAGTTATTAGAAACATACATATATATTAGATACTTTTATTTAAAGTTTATTTCAAGTATGCATATATTATATAAATTAGAAAATTTTTTTATTAAAAAAGGCAGTAGAGTGGAAAAAAAACCTTACATTTTATAAAATTAGGTTTTAAAACATTAGAAAAAGCTCAGTTGTGAAATGTTACTCCTCCATCTTTCACATATCTGGAATTACATCCATATGCGGAGCACGAAAGATCATTTTTGAAGTCCGAACAATGCGCTTACACGCAAAACACTTGCTTCTCACAAATTCTCCATAGAACTGTAATGGTAAGGAAGATTCGCGGGAAATACGATTTGGGAAATGTTCCAAATGTCACGTGGTTCGCATTCCTGTTCCCCTTCATGGTTGCCGTTTCTCTCTCTAGTACACTACAGCTCTATGGTTCAAACATGTCACTTGAAATTGTCTCACATATAGTACAGATGTGCTGCTTCAACTCCGCAACTGTTTGTGGAGTTTGGCGGTATGCCACCAAAAAAAAATCTGATGTGTATACCACATGACTTCCTTGTACGGAATATTAAATTAGACGCATTTTTTCTTGCATTTCATTTAAAATTATTTGATTGAATTAAATCTACTTCGCCGACAGCGCATAAACCGCAATAGAATAAATGCATTCTTTAAAATTCACTCTACTTCTTTACCATAGCGACACTCTGGCGCTAGGTTCACTTAACAGTATTATATTTTCGTTCATATTATAACTCGAATGCACAAAATTTATATCATTAAGAATTATCGAATCGTTGCCACAATGTTCTATTCAAATACTATAATAAAGCTAGAACGATGTATAAAAGGAATTAAAGAAATAAAATAAAAAAAAAAAAAAAAAAAAACAGTTTTTCACAGACGATTGAGTATTTCTTATCAATTAGTCAGTTCTCACTTCGCGACAATACAAAAATACATAAAAACTCAAATACTGTATTAAAAAATTACGAAGTAAATCTAAACACTTATTTCCTCGAAAAATTCCAGAAAGGATTAAGCATGATTCAATTCCAATAATAAATGAGGCGTTATCTTTGTTGTTGCGGTGCTAATTTCTCTAGATTGACAACAAATCCACTATCCTGCTGTTTCAAATGTAAACAAGCAATGGCCGCCTTCAAAAAAAATATTAGGCTCAGCGGCACTAAAACAACTTTAAAATTGTTGATAATTCTAAACTATTGGATACAGATTTACTAAGGCATAAAACCTTAACCGGAGATAAGAACAACATAATTTAATCATTTTTAAAGCAAAATTGTACAATTTACAAATATATAAGAGTAAAAAGAAACTGAGATCACGGAGCCGGGACAGATGGATATATATAATAAATATTTATTACGTTTGGTGAGGCCGATTGCAACCAATACGAGGTGCACATCTACATGTTAAGTAGTCCTATATACAAAATTTTCAACGTTCTGAGACTACTCGTTTTTGAGTTATGCGAGATACGCACGTACGTACATACGTCGTACAGACGCCCACGAAAAATTCTCTTTATAATTCATTTTAAAGCTTTTTATAATTTTTTGGAGGAAAGAGTTTTTTATTCTGTCCTTACGTACAGATATCACGGAAATACATCGTTAATTGCATTTGAAAGAGGTCAAAATGGAATATTTTCGTTGAAATATGCTGCCTGAAACGTTTCGCGATTACAATACTTCCTTTTTACTTCGTACAAGGAAGTAAAAATGTAGTGTGTTCCCCCCTCTAAAGAGAGGAAAAGTGTCATTTCTTCATGTGCTGACTACGTAAATGTTTTTTAATATTAAGTGTAGAGATTTTTAATGAATGTATTAATTTAAAACCTTTCCTGTTGAAAGTGTTGTGATTATTAATTCATTAATTCATGTTCATTATATAGCCATTCTCTGCAGATGTAATCTCCGAATGCATGAGACAAGTAACTTTTCGTAAGTAGGAAAAACGACGTTGGGAGCTAACATTGTATAGAGTAAATTCACAGAAATTACTTTTGTAGTTAGACTAATATAGATCTGGAACAGAGATATAGAGATACGTAATTTAAATTGAATAATATTACTTTAAATGTTGCCAATTTTTTAATGTGTAACGTCTTTTGAATCTTTGCATAAAAATAGTGTTTGTCAAAGAAGGAAATTTCTTTTCTTGTACATGTCTATTAAATTCAGCGACAATACTGAACGAACTTTTTTTCTTTCATTTAAGACAGCAGAATATTATAAATGACATGGGCATTAACATGGAAATAACAAAATATTTGCAAAGGAAGTATTTTTTGCAATGTGAAAGGAACAGAATGCAACAAAATTGCAATAATAATAATATACTGTTAGCACACAATGCCTTTTTAGTTGGATCGAGACCATCGTGTTTTGGTTTTGCACTAAATTCATAAACTCAGCTATTGATATAATCTAAACGTTTAAGATTGCTTTTGATATTAACAGCACCTTTGAAAGATTTTATAATTTTATATTTCCATCAAACAGGAAGCCAACTTCAGAACGCTGCAGCTAAATGTTTTCGTTTCAAAGAAAACAAACGATAATTTTCATGCTTCCGTATCACTCATGTGAATCATTCATCAAAAAAAAACTTGAAAGAATCTTGTCTAAACGTCATTACGCCGAGAGAAAATGATGTCATCGGAAAAAATATCCAATCACAAGTACGGATTTTTCCTTATGAGCATGGCGCGGTACAGAATGCTTATATGCTTGTAAAATATATAGAGGAATTTCGAAAGAAAACCGACCTATGAGTAGTTACTAAAAATAATACATATAATTTTCATTCAAATTATATTTATACATATTTCTTATGTAAAAATTCGCATATATGCTAAATTATTGCAAATTACTTTACTCGAATAGAGAATGCACAGAAATTAAAGAGTTGCACATGCCGAAAATGAAAAATATGAAATACGTATGGGTATTTATGCATATGCTTTCCAAAAACATGTATCTGCCTTACTTAATATGTTAACAAAATACTTAAATATGTATTAAATTTTTTTATAAATGTATTTGAAATGAAGGATTTATTCATTCATAAACTCCTGTGAAAGTTACTGTGAAGAAATCTAATTATTAAATGTATAATGATTCT